ATCGGTGCAATTTTCGTTTTAAAATATTTTAGAAGACCGACACCTAAGGAGGCAAATTGTGTAATTGGTGTTCAAAAAGCAAGTCGCTGTTTAAGATCTCCGTTAAACCTAATTTATATAAACAAACAACAATTGAGAGAAGTTTCTCTATACATTCGTCGTTCCACCGCGCTCAATTAATCCTAAAAAAGTGTATGTCCTGCAAATTTGTGACTATTTTTGTCCGACATCTTATCTATTCTGTGATACAGCTGTGGTGTGAGTTCTACTGGCTTTCTTTCGGTTCATTGCGCTTTTAAACAGGACCCAAAAATGAATTTTCTCTTATTTGTCTTTCATACTTGCAAAAAAGATTGTAGTTTAGATAAAGCGTAACTATTATCATCATATATCACATCTCGGGACTATGACTTTATAAGGCCTAAGGTATCATTATCATTGTACCACAAAAGCTGAGCTGCCGTTCAACGAAAACGCCCCACCGTCGAAGACAAATTAGAAAACTTTATGAATAATAGATTTGTCTTATTAACGGGGGTGAAGTTTACGACAGATTAATAGAACCGGGGTGCCTACGAAATTGTGTATGTTTTATTCAAGAGGTATACGAAGGGAAAATAAGGAGACATGCTAAATAAAACAGCTTTAGCTTACTTCCCATCTAGATATCAGGGGCTTTTCAACTATTGAATTATCATATGGTTCGCTTGCCAACATATGGTTTGTGGCAACAAATACCTATGAGATCTGAACGGAAATTTAATAAATTCTAATAGAAGTCGTTTCTATACTCTGCCGTATTTCATCCAATTAATGGTTCTAAAATTAACTTTCCGAGCTGGAATGTATGGTTTCCAATAAAGTCGTAATGTGCAAATCGTGTAGGCCCGGAATCATACAGCCATAAAGAGCCAGAAATCATATTTTGTTAAGTCAATAATCCGACTAACGTCGAATGGAAATGTATGGAATTCACGTGCATGTTCTACACTGGCTTTCTGCAAAGTAAACGAAGTTTTGGGAAATCGCAACTAATAGACAACCATATGAATTCGATTTATTCCATGATTTTGCCAACAGAAACAGCCCAGTAAAATTGTTTCCAAATCTATTATGCAGGCAACACGATCTAGGTACGTACTACTTGTTCATGCACGATGCACTGTACTATACAAAATATGGATGTATACATTCCAGTATCGTCCAATCTGATCAATTCAAATAGAAATGCACTACAGCACAAGTAGTCATCAATCGACAACAGTATCATTTTGAATTTTAAACCATCGACATTTTGATGGTAACATCTGTAAATTATTCAGTGATTGTTACCACTACAGCATTAATTTCCAATTGCGGCCTAAACTTGCAGGTCCAGTTTAATTCATTGAACTGTAGCTCATTCCATCTGCGTATTGTGCCAGTTCATTTACTGTTATGCATTTTGCGCTAATCAGCTGATTTAAGTACCATTTCTCATTAATGGGATTCAAAATATGCACATTTCAACTTACTGATTAATACAGTGACAAAATCTAGTTGGAGAGTAGCGCAGGTAAATTTGTAATGAAAATACTTTACAGTAGCATTCGCGAAGGAATCCTATGCACTAGGATTGCACTCCAATTCCATTTTTAAAGAGTCGGTTTTACCATCAATTTTCGACTTTCCCTGGCTTTATATATTTTCAGTTTTGAAGCTAGGTGTAATTGATGTTGTGGTTTGTCTTTCTATTGAAGCCGGTATAATTGATGTTGTGGTTGAATCTCAGAACATAAATAAAGCTCTACAAAGATTTACATTAACAACCGCAATGCATTAGTTGAACATAAAAAAATAAAGAACTGTAAGTATAATTTGCAAATTATTATTAACACTCGAGCTCATCCACCACAGTTATCACAAAGGCTATTGAGCGAATCCAATTTCAACACTATTAATGACTCTGTGATTTTTAGAAGAGACTAGTTTTAATAATCTTATTATAGTTTAAAAAAATCCTGCTAATAATTGAAAAATTAGGTCTTGTGCAAATACAAAAACAGATTAAGAGATAAAAGTATTTCCTTATCAGGGAAACGTTTACTTGTTCCCATCCGTACAGATTTAACCATGTGAAAATACACCTACAAATTCAAATGCAAATTCAAATTCAAATTCAAAATTTATTAAAAATATATATGTAAACAGAAAATTATTTGTCAATTTACAATTCATATAATGTAAAAATTATTTGTTGAGTACCTAGATACTTTGTACCTGTATGTACTCTTGAGGTTACAATTTTTTTTTATATCAGTAATCATATTTCCATTTTCTGTCCTGGTTTAACAGAAATCCACATAGCATACCATACATGTATATTCTTACCTAAAACTAGCAAAACTAGCAACTTAAAACATTTTCCCGAGAACTGAACTTTTCAGAAAATATCTGAACAAATATGTTCCTGTGTATAGTAATATATTCTCTGGATTTTTTATTAAACAAATTGAAGTTATTTATTGATCTTATTATACTTCGAAATAAATAATACAATTTTGGGGCTACATAATTAAGAAACTTAAGATGAATTCTTCGATTATTTTTTTTAGGTAGAGCAAGAACGTTGTTAGATATTTCTAGATATATATTATAGTCTTGTGGTTATGTTTTACATATGTTTGAGTATTTTTGTTCTTATGGGTAAATGAACATGCTGAATGTATGTATAGCAATGATATGTCGCTAATTTCTTTGTTATACAACTCTCTAGTAGGATATAGTTTGTCCTTTCTGTAAATTATTCTTATAAAACGAACGACCAAAAAATGGTTCCTGTTTCTGTAGTGGTCGTAAGGTAGAAAGTTGAAACACATGAAGTGATGATTTTTAAGCCTTGAGAACACTGTTTATGGGGATTTTGGGAAAAAATGTCCCCCAGTCAATAAGGTTTGTTGCATTTTTCGGTAATTCTGTGATTTTTAGTGTCAGCACTCCAAGGGCCTCAAAGATTCAAATTCAAATTCAGGACTCCTGAATGGGCATTCAATATAATAAACAGACTTTTACTAGAAAAAAAAATGCATTTATTGGAAAGAATGGACTCTCTTGACACCAATTTTTATTTCGCTATTCTAACGATGCTGTTAGTAAGCATGGAGTAGTATGTAAGTTAATGAAGGCTTTTAAAGTATATGTATAAAACTAAAATAATTCTATTGTAGTGATCATCAATATTTTTCATTACAGAAATGTAAATCTTCGTATGTTTACAATTTAATTTGAAAAACTAGTTCAATATTTGATTGCAATATTATTCGCTTGGAACTGTTCAAGGTAAACATGAAGAACGCAAAAATTACATTTTATTACTTGGGTGCTAAGAGAAAATTAGTAGGTTTAACTAAAATATTTTAATGAATCGATTAAAAAGAAACATTTTTTGAAAGAAAAATGTAATACTGTTTGCTCTTAGCTTTTGCTGACCGATTTTGCATGTTTCATTCAGATCGTTCTTTAACTAAAGGAAATCTTCAGCTTCAACGAAGCTTAAACGTTGCCCTAAACATGATGGTGTTATTTCATAAAACCTTAATACATTCAGTTGCACCAGCTCTTTGCAATACTCCAATCAGCTTTACATCTGCCGAAGTAACAAGTCACGTTTCGGAATTATTTCCTTAACTTTCACAACAAGCCATGAAGTGGCAATATTGTCCCTATGAGGAATTAAATGGCTTACAAAATTAGCTAGTTATACTGTAGGGGCGGTATCTTTCCCCCTACGTAATGGGGCTCTATTGTAAGCTGGAACGTCCCAGGTGAATTCTTGCTGCCTTGTTACAGACTCAGGAATTATTCCAAGGATCGTTAAGTTTGAAGGCTGCGCCTGGCAAAGAAAATGACGGTTTCAATTTAATCCGAAAAAACATGAATAATATGAAATTGCACCAAAATGCGTTAAGCGGCAGAAATATGCGAAAATGGAAAGCAGTTGAGAATAAATTAGTTTTCAATCTTAAGGCTCTAAAGCTTAGATGCCGCTTTTATGATTTTTTCAACACAAACATAGGGCTCAGCTTTAATAGTGGACAACTGGAGTCTGAATAATACTCGGGTAAGTAATACGATTACTTCCTACAAACTTGCGTCGTTAAATTGAATGGTTAAGCTTTTCACGATTAAAACTACACCAATTTGTATACTGTTAAATCCAATTAACCGTCCTTTTATTATCCTTTCTCGATTCAATTAGCGAAGCGAAAACAAAACCGAATTAGAAATGAAACGGATATTATCTTTTCTTGTTATTTAAAGTTTATACCTGCAGGCGACATCTAAAAGTACAAAGAACGAAATCGTTTTTCCTCAAAGAATAGATTTAATGCGAGGTTCGCACTGTTTTGCAATCTTCTTTCATTTAGGAACTTTCATAAAATCTCTGAAGGTTTTTTATTTGTCTGCCGATGTTAGTATGTACATTTATAATATTGTAACTAAATAAGACTTAGTGTAACGAGAATATTAAATTTATTTCGTCAGTAATGTTCGGGTGCGGTTCATTGATTTAACATTTCAATTTCGACAAATTACAAAATTTTGCCGTATAATTGTCATACATACCGATTGTAATTATTCTAATTGGAAAATGAGGTATATGAAATATTGGGATCAAATGTCAAACGCTAATAAACAATATTATCTAACTTAATACTAGGAATAATGTTGCTGATCCGATGCAAAAATATTGATCAACTTTATGGGGCATTATTCATATTCTGATAGATTTATTAATTGAATTATCATTATCTGTTACAGCCCTATTTAGGATCCTCCTATTGGCTAATATCAAACATAAATACCATTAAATATGAACATCAAATAATTTTGCTTCATTATGAATAATTGGAATAGTTCGTTGCTTCCATGAATTCCATTTAATGTTGATCAATTTATTGGTACATTACCAGTCAAGAGTCATTATATCCTTAGTCACAATGGCTCCGCGCTTTTTAGTAAAACCAGGTTGCTAAAATTAAAAGTTAATTTACTTTTTCATTTGTAATTTTTTGTCAATTAAAGGCTTACGGCATTAACAATTGAATTTTAGGCAAAATTCCAATAGATAGTCGAAATTCCGTCACGAGAGTTTCGCAGAGTTTAAAATGTAAATCTAGTTTGAATCGTCGATTTTGTTGCTAGTTCGATTTTGGTCTTGTTGCATTTTTGTGGGCAAGCGCCATTGAAAAAAAGCCTGACAAATTACCATTTCATTTTAACTTTATTAGACTGGACCGTTGCTATGGGTTCGGAAGGCTTAAATATTGGTAGGTCCTTTCGAGCTCACTCGACGGCTTTGAAATAGTTGTGGGTATTGTTAGAATAACTAATTTCTACTCATCTCTGATTGTTACGCTCTTAAACACTATTGATTTATGAAGAATTGGTATTAAATAATTTATTAAATAAGATATAACTTATCAAAGCTTACTTTTCTTGCAACTGAACGACGTATCACTGTCTATACACCACATTTAAATTGTACTATACACGACATTTAAATTGGAGCTAAAAAGCAGTAAAGCTAATGTTAATATTACCGAAGGAAACACCTAAATAAATTCCTTGTAAAAATGCGCACCTTGATTTAGTTGGACACATGTATCTCTTCCTTGATTGGGGTTCAATAGTATGTCTAAATATGAGTAATAAGCACGTAAAATGTTCTAAAAGTCTGTCAAGAAGCGAGTCTTGTGTCAGTGATAACAATTTTTCTTTATGAAACGAAAAGCTGTGGCGTGACATGCCGCAGTTTAGTGTCGGTAACAGAGGCGTGTAAAGTCTTTATTTTCGAAAATATTTCAAACATCTGCTTATTATGTTATTTTTAAGCCAGTTAATTCGCAGGTGAAGATTTTAGAAAATAAAAATTTTGATTAATTTTCTCATTAACTCTAAATGAGTTGACTAGTAATTACATCAAACAGTAGAATTGAAATTGAAGTCGAGCACTCGAGTATCACACGTATCTTGAATCTTCAAGGTGTGTATTTTTTTTCCAAAAATTTTATTTTATTTCCGAAAATAAATTATATGGTCTTTAAACACATTTGATTCTTCTGATAGGCTTCATTCGGATTTCAAAAATTTAGTCATCAATTTATTCTGGCGAAACGTCTGCCTGCAGGAGATTTTAGCAAGTCAGTCGACTCACCTACGTATCAAATTAAACTTTCCATCAAAACCTATCCGAAGATTTATAAGCATGATAAATTACAGACCATAGTCATCAATCAATGCTTTTAATAATTTTGAAAACCTTCTAACTTTACATAGACTTGTGATAGATCTTGTTAGGTAAATTGGACATTAAATGGCTCTTGTGTATGCATAATTAAAGATAACATATGCCAAATTACTTCTGCATTATATGATGATACCATTCCATACAGGAAAACGGTCCCTAATTTATGACTGAATTTGTCACCAAATGTTTTTTTTGTCAAAGTTGCTACATTATGGTAATTATTGCTTTTATTGCAAACGCAAAATACACCTCTTGCTTATATGTAATATGTAAACTAAAATTGTAATAAATTCAGGCTCAAATATACTTGAAAGTATTAACCTCAGCTTGATATTTATGGATTTTAGCAAGATTGATAGATATATTTTTTAATTTTTTTATTTGTTGATGCACCTAATCCTATATTAATAAGCATCCTAAATATAACCCAAATTGCTATAATGCCAATAGTTGATTTTGTTTAGCTTTTTAGTCCTCCAGTTATCATTGTACTATTGCTGACAAGTGAGCTGGGCCTGTGGCCTGGGATTTTTATGTTGTGGAAAGCATTTGTATACAACCCTGTTTTCATATCTAAGTAATATGAATACAAAAATATTTCAAACCCATTTTCAAGTGATTCATGTCATGAAAAAATGGATGTTAAACAGTGCAACTATAACTAAACTTATGTAACAACATAACAATTCTTGTAAGAAATGGAAGACGGTTTATCGACCTCTGATTTATTGTTTGCATCAAAAATGTAAAGTTTCACTAAACCCAGTTTTCAGTTTAGTTTCACTAAACTTTTGGTAAAAATTAGAAACCGCAGTCGTGCATGCAGGTAGATCTTTATCGACAAACAGGAAGATAACATTGTCAGTTCTAAGTCTTTTTGTTTTGGATTCTAGTCTAAACATAAATTGTATAACAATGTCGCGCATGCATAAAGTTGTACTTTTATGTGAAATATCTGAATCAGAGAATCATTTTATTGGTTAACAGCCAATAAATTGTTAATAGTGCACATGACCATTGAATATTTCCTGCTAATAACATTATAACATCTACAAAATTGCAGAGGTTTTTCTTCAAGTAGCGTTTGAAATATATTGTACTCCGATGTGAAATGTATTGCCTTGTAATATTTCTTCCTTATCCGTGGAGGAGTTTGCACGTTCAGTAATTAGCCAATCCTAAGAAAAGCAAGATGTTTGCCCTTTAATCAATTTGGAGCGTTTTTTCTCGCAAACTGTTTTGAACGGAAATATTTTTCATCAGGAGCATACAATATTAGCAGTCTGGTGGGTTATTAAGCAATAATTTAAAAGAGAATCAAACATACTCATATAAATTCTGTAATACTTTTCACCCTTAGCCTCAGATTAGACAAAAATATACGTTCATGCACATATTAATCCAAAAAATCTAGTAAACGTGGGAGCAAATGCAAACAGATGAACGAATAAAATAGTTTACATACGTTGTCTGTTTAAATGTTGGTTTTTTTTGTCTCTCCCGCTAATTCGCTTAACTGACGTTTACGTAACGTAATAACTCAAAATTGTTTTTTTCTGGCTTAAAACATTGTGACATTTTCTATGGTTTTTCCGCAAATTTCTTTGTGTTTAACTCGTTTTGGTAAAATAATTCGTTTTCAAAATTTTCTCTATTTTATTGTAGCATACAGTTTAACGGTATTTTTTGTTTAATTTTGTTAAAACAATTGAACTGTTTAATGTTCTGACACAAGAAATTGGAGCACCAAACGCATGAACAAAATACACGTTCTACTTCAGATGCCTGGAGTCTCCCAGTTAATTACGTAGAACGAAATTCAGCAACACGCACAGCAAAAATATTCAAAACTAGAGTTCAACTTTGGAAAGATTGGAATTGTCTGAACATTTAGCTGAGCCAATCAGCACTAACTAAACTCGGAAAATTTCTTCAATTTTTGTCCACAAAAATGTAGTGCTTTTTGTCAAAGTCTCCTCGTGTATGTTAGCAAAATTAAATTTTGTAATGATAGCCACGACAAAATAATAATTGGAAAAATGCACATCCAAAAAAATTATCTGCAAAAATTATTTACTTTAAGACTTAATGAGTACCACTCACCATAAGAGCGCAACGAGACAAAACAATTGTTCAACTCCATCACCGATTCCCAATATCATTAATCTAAATATTAATTCATTTAATCGTAAATACTATTATCGGATTGAGCTTTTGATAGCTGTTGATACCTCCATATCAAATAGATATTCTCCTATTCTCACCAGTTAATGGATTTTCTGCCTCCTTGAACCGACAAACTCTCATACAGGAAATATTAATTGAATAATTCAATTTTCGAGTCTTGATTATGTCAAGCGAGACAATATTGCCGACATACTAGGCATTATTTAATTAAATATTAGTTAATTGGATTTTATTAATGAATTCATAATCCATCACTGATTAAACTCAAGGGTTGTTTAAGTTAGTTTTTAGCGTGAAAATCCAGTTCGGTTATTAGACGAAATTGGTTAGCTTCAGTTTTGCTAAAATATTGATAAGTTTGATATTTGCTGTAGGTTTCCGTTTAGAGCATCGCAGTGAATTAAATTTATTCATAATAGCACGTGCTAATTAACTTCCGAGATGTGGCTAATGATGTCGTTTTTAGCAAAAAAGCATCCTTCAATTTTAAATCACGAATTGTGAAATAAAACATAGTGAAACCTCATGATGCTTAGAAAAACTGTATTGTAAATGTACAGTATCAAGATTAATTTTAACAGAGCCAAGAATTTTTTAAAATAGACCCAACGGTCTCAGCAATAAAAAGGATTTGAAGATGTTATCTGAAATATTTGCAGTTGGAACAAAACTTGCTACTAGAGAATCATACAACGCATGCTATTAGTTTAATTTCAAAGTGGGAACTAAACGCTTCAGTTCAGAGCGCGATTCATTCATTCATTCATTTCAGAATATTATGAGTTTTCAATTTAAAAAATAAATATTATAAACTATTGAAAGCAGTTGATAAATGCTGTTTCTAAAGTGTCACCACTACTATTCGCTTTAAGCTTCAAAACTAGGCGAAAACCGAAAATTGAATTATTTAATTAATATGTCCTATATGAGTCTGTCTGGGGAAGCAGAAAATCCATTAAGCAGCTAGAAAGGGCGAACGTTTGATAAGCAGGTTAGAGCATTGATCTGAATAATATAGCTCAATAAGCTTTACCTTCGCGAGTGAGCGATTAAAATTAATCAAAATAAGTTGGCTTCATATGAGAAAATATTTTTGAAGAAATTTTTTTAAATCAATGAATTTTTATGGAAGTATGTATTTTATGCATTTAATATCGGATATGTTCTACATCTAACGCTTCTTATTTATCTTATTAGCAGACTTATTTAACCAAAAACTTGGATGGTTGCCATTTAACATCAACTTCCACTATAAACCTAGCGTGTGTAAGGTCGAGAAGAATTTATTTTATCACAAATAATTCCCATAAAACGGCAATAATGTGAGTAGGCCATTTAAAGATATAAAACGTAGAGGGGCAAGTCAGATGGGATATTATGGTCTCCGTGAACTGTATCAATTTCGGCAGCGAATGTTCTTTTACAGTTAAATCAGCCATAGAAGGAGAGAATATTTACACAAAAAACATTAATTTATCACTAGACCTTTTTAAGCCCGGAGGAAAAAATCGATGTGAAAACCTCCCATAGAGAATTGACGTGGCCTAGAGATTTACGGTTTTTGGGCGCAGCAGGATATAAAAAGTTAAAGGACAAGTTAGCTTACCCATAATTTATCAAGTAAAAACCAATGTGTAAGTGCTTTGGAATTTCAGAGGTGTATTGAAAAAAACTAGCTTCGTGCGCTTTTAACTTGAAGTTATGGAATTGAATCTATTGTATATACTTTCCTGACTGTGTTTCAATTCCAAATCAAATCTATTCCTGGGTTTCAGTCATTTATTGTCTCTATTTATTAATCAAAATATGTTTTGGTGTATTTTTCCACCATCATCAGTTTTTAGATGTAGCGTTCTTGCATTGAAATGCACGCCAAGGCTTAAAGCAGCAACAACGCTACATATAAAAACTGATGATGGTGGAAAAATACACCGAAACATATTTTGATTAATAAATAGAGACAATAAATGACTGAAGCCCAGGAACAGATTTGATTTGGAATTGAATCTATTACTAGTACTAGATCAATATGGCAATTCGAAATTGAAAGTTTGCGTAAAACATTTATGTTTAAAAACAGAAGCCCGACGAAGTACAGTAGATTAAGGAAAAATATTTCAATACATAAATCATATTAACCGTATATGTCTTGGTTGCAAACACACTTCTATTCGAATTTTCAGATGTTCATATATATTTTCAAGATGAATTTCGCTGCTCCACTTGAAGTAAAAAGATC